GTGTGGATGAACTCAGTATAAGATTGGAAGAGTTGAAATTGAAAATGAATATAAATGGGGAAAAGTTGGGCCCTGGTACCGTTACATAGGTGATTAGGTACCGGTACCACGTTGTTGGATGGCCTAGGTACTAAAACCCTAACTTATGGGTACCAGTACCTAGATTCCAGTGGGCTCTAGTATCGGTACCTATACACCAGGTACGGGTACCTAGATGGACAGTGGGCTTAGGTACTGGTAGAACGACATATAGGTACCAATACATAGGAAACGGTGGGCTCAGGTACCTGTACCTAAGTGATTAACTACTAGTACTTGGCAATTGAGATGTCCTGGCATATAGAAGGCTCAGGTACCGGTACCATATATATGAGGTACTGATACCTCTTCTAAAAATTTTCAAAAATTTAAATATAACTATGTCAAGCCTTCGAATCTTGAGTCCTCTTACTCATGAGATATAATTGGCCAAACATTAAGTCTTAATTCGCAAGGATGGACCTTGGAATGGTTGAGTAGTTGATACGTGAATAGATTAACCGTTGGGAGTGATACGGTACAAGGGTGACTTTGCCCAAACTCTGTATACGTTATGATCTCGGTGAAAGGGATGTGATGATGTGATATCGGGTCAAGCGGCATTCACGGGTGTTTCTGCGAGTTGATGTTTGATAAATGGGTTAATAAAGGACCCTCGAATTTTGGGGAGTCACAGCCTTGTATCAAAGTTTAGGTTCTCGAATTTACCTAGAGCTTGTGGGCATGGGTCTAGGTCATTGCATCCATTATGTATTAAATGTTTTGTGTTTTAAATGCTACATGTTATATGTTATGTTAATTATATGCATAATCTGATGTGAATGAAAAAAGACACTTGGGTTAGAAAACATAACTTGGGGGTCAAAAGAGGAAAGAATGGCTAAGCTTTCTACTGATGGATGGCATACTGCCTACTAGTGAGACAAGGAGACGAATCTCAATATTTTGACTTTGATTCCTACTTTGAGACACTAAGTTAGTGCTCTATTTCCATCGTACCTATGTGTAGATGACAAATATAAGAAAAGGACACCAGAATGGTCAAGAGGGTGGATAGAATAACAACCAACCACCATCGACATTTGATTAATAAGCCTTCATGGCAGCTATAGGCACAATGGCTTCTACCTTTGCACAAGTTAGCGCCAGTGTAGGCCAAGGAGGCACGAACAACCTTCAGAGGTGGTCGACCATTGGTCCCAACAAGCTAATAACATCTTGGAGGCTATGGAGATCACATCTGATGCCACTAAAGTAGGGCAAGCTACATTCCATCTTGAGGGAAAGGCCCATCTATAGTGGGATTGGGCAATGGCCTCGAAGAACCTTGAGGCCATGACTTGGGGAAAGTTCCATGAGCTCTTCATTTCCTGTCGGCTATTTAGCAAGTGAAAGCTTGCGAATTCTTGGACTTGAAATAAGGAAATATTAGGGGGTGGAATACGTGGCTAGGTTCACAAAGCTAGCCCATTTCACTGTTGATTATGTGGTACATACATGGCCAAAGTGAAGAGGTTCGAGGATGGCTTGAAGTTATCCATCTAGGCAAAGATTGTAGGCCACCGCCTATAAGACTTGGACTCAATAGTTGAGACAACCATGGCCATTGAGAGGGAAGCAGAAGATGCAAGGGGTATCCGGGAGGTGGTGCTAAGGACAAGAAGAGGAGGGTCAATCCGTTTCTTCTAGTTTGGGGGAAGAAGCAAAAAACTTCTACCCCACAAGGGTATTAAGGACAGGATTGCGGCTATCCCCAAGGTCATTCCTCCCAAGGCCGGAGAAACTTCATGGCTTCTTATCAGGCTGGCCAGAGGACTTGTTTCATATGCCACCAGCCAGGCCACATAAGTGGGATTGTCCTCAAAGGCAGGGATCCTAGAGCTACGGGGTATCTTAGTCCCAATCATCGATGGGGCATCCACAAATTTTCTTCATTCCTCCCTACCCCACTATAGGCTTGGGAAGTCAGTTTTAGTTTCAGGGTGCAGCACAAACCCCTACCACTTCATGAGCGAGAACTCTGTAATCTGGCCAGATGGGCTAAGGCATAGGCTGAGGCTGAGGACAAGGCTTATAGGGTGGGACTATTGAGACCTAGTGGCAATTCTACGCCATCACACCTTAGACTGAGCCGGTGGATCACTTGATGATACAGGGAACATTCTTACTCTCTCGTTTATGGGCATGGGTATTATTTGACTTAGGTGCATCTCAATCATTTATTTTTTGCATCCTATGTTAAAGACTTAGGCTTAGAGGTTGAGACCTTGGAAAAGCCATTTGTGATTCTCCCCTATGAACTAGGGTATGTATTGATTAGATATGTAGAGGGTGTGAGATAAAGATCTCGAGGATTCTACTCACCGTGGACCTTAGGGTTATGGATTGGTTGGTCACACCCTGAGTCGTCATCGATTATGATAGGAATGGGGTCACTACTTATACACCAGAGGGAGTTTGTTTTAAGTTTCAAGGAGAAAAACACGATTCTTTACCCCCAAGTGGTATATGATTCCTATTGGCATGGGTTGATGGGTTGGCTTGCGAGCCTTACACTTGAGGATGAGGTGAGACAAGAGTTGGCTCAACCTTGGGTAGTGTACGTATGTAGACGTTTTTGTGGATGACTTACCGGGATTACCTCCACATCGAGATGTAGGATTTTCCAATGAGTTACAATTTGGTGCATCCCCTATTTCCACGACGCTGCATAGAATGGACTTGCAGAGTTGTAGGAAATCAAGGTCCAGTTTCAAGAATTATTGGACTAGGAGTTCATTAGACCGAGTACCTCACCTTGGGTTGCTCCAGTATTGTTTATCTACAAGAAGGACAAGACCCTTTGAATTTGTATCAACTATCGATAGTTGAATCAGGTAACCATTAAGAATAGGCACCCATTGCCGAGAATTGATGACTTGTTTGATCAACTGAGATCTTGATTTGTTTATTGTGGCCTTTGTTGATGACCAACCCTACCTAGATCTGTTTACTTTTTTTTTGCATCCTATGTCCAACCCTACCTAGATCTGTTTATCGTGGTCTTTGTTGATCTCAAAATAAATATTCCTAGTCTAGGACAAAAGAGAATATAATTATAGACATCCATCTCGAGATCCACGTTCCCATCTATTGGAGCTTCCCAATGTGCCTGCTCAACATAATCTGAAAAATATGTTACAAGGTTTAGAAAATATATAAAACAATCGGTCTTATTTTTTAAATATCATAGACATAGCTTTTGAGAGAAAATAGGGGCAATTCGATCTCAAGTTTATACAATAGCAATAATTAAATGAAAGAGTAAAACCAATTCCCAACGATAAGAATACCATCAAGTTACCAATTCCACCACGACCATTTACACAATAAACCACTTCCGTCATAAACAACAATTCCAACAATAAGCCATAACCGACCACTTGCACAATAAGCAATAATCCATAATGTATCTCAGGTATGATGTAAAATATTGCATGAATAAACACATTGAGAATATCATAGCCCATACTCACACACTCAATCCTCGGAAGGATATCCAACTTTTAGGAAGGGCGTACACCAACACAATGGCAGTGAAAAATTCAACCCAAGAATAGTATACTAATCCTCATCCTCGGTACCCGTGACCGAATAGTAATTTGGTCCTCACAAAGCACCAACCCCACTATGAGTGGTAGAAAAAATTCAAACCCGCACGGAGTAAGAAATATATCTACCCACTTTACGATAACCGGTCAACGGCCACCCATGGTCATCCAAACATCCACAAGAGATACAATATCTAACCAAATTCTCAAATTTTCAAGTAAAATCCAAAATCCTCAAATTTCACATATAGTATCACAATAGAACAATTGAAGAAAAATGCAAGAGATCATCATAAATACTATTTTGTTGTTCAATACAAAGTACTAAAGTTTTGAAATCAAAAACAAAGGAAAAATCAAGAGAAAAATTTATTTTTCTTGAAAACTAGGGTTTTGAGTCAAGAAGAAGAAATTTCATGGCTACCCAACCATAACTTTGTTTAAAACATGATAGTGTTTGCAAGAATATCAAGAATCAATGATTTACTAACAAATAAATAGGATTTATAGTCAAAATATACATATATATAAGTCCTAGCCTCAATGTAAGAGAATAGGAAGAAACCCCTACCTTCTTCTTCCTTAGTGTTCTTGAAGAACTTAAGAATTTGATCCACTTCAAAGTAAAAATCTTCTTTGATCTTGTATTTTTCCCTTTCTCTCTTATTTCTCAAGGCTTTCTAGGGTTATATATAGTGTATGGAGGCTAAAGGAGGCATCCTTACGTATTTATAGGGGAAGAAAATAGTGTCATTTGCGCGATTCTGAAAGTCAGAATTCGTAGACCACGTTCGAACGTCCTTTGCTCCCAGTACTTTTGTTTTTTCATCAGACAAAATACTGGAACATACTGTCGTTCGAATGGACTTTTACGTTCAAACGTGGGTCGTTCAAACGTCATTTCACGTTTGAACGAACTTCCTATTTCTTCTAAAACTTTCAGTGAAGTTCTGGCCTATTTAGAGGTAGATTTGAAAATTTTTTCATGAAAGACACTTTTGTAACCCTAGAAGTCTACTATCTACTATCAAAATTTCAGATCGAATGGACATCAGAATAAAAAGTTATGATCCAAATACTAAACAGTATCCAAAATCTTTTCTACCAAAATTTTGTCTAAAATGTATTTTCACTTCGGAATACTTCTAAATTTCTACAACACACCCTATTACGTCAACTAAAATTTTATCTCTACTCTTAAAATCCACCTAGTTCATGCATACATCATTACATATATTAGCATTACAAAACATAATTGTGTTGCTATATAAAGAATAGAATGTGGGGGTTTACAGTTCCCTTGAGCTTTTTGGCAATGCCAGCAATGTACTTTCCCTGGTGGAAAGCTTGTTCCAGTTCAAGCTCAGAAGGCTATTGAGAGCCATCTCCAGCAAAAGTTCCAGCAGTTCCAGCACCATATGGTGATCCACCCTTAATCTTCTCCATCTCGAGCATGCCAGCTCCAAACATGTAGCCAATAGGCACAAAAATCATTCCATGATGAACAAGCTGGGTAATGGCTGTCAAGGGTGTAGTCTCTTGGCCGCCTCCTTGAGATCCAGTGCTGTTGAAGAGGCCAACGCTTGAGTTCTCCATAGACCTCCAGTTGCATCGAGAAATGCTTTAAATTGAGCAGCCATCATTCCAAATCTAGTAGAGAAACCAAATATAAGCAATGAAAATATAAAAGCAGTCTCCAACACTTGACTGGAAAAAAAAAAAAACAATGTAGCAACTCTGCTAATGCCAGCCTACCACAAAAACTCAGAGGGCAAATTAAGAGAAATAGTAAAGTCCTCTGAAAACCCATCTGCACAGCATGATTAGCCAATCTAAGAGCCACAGAATTCATTTTTCTATACACATGCAATGATCAAGCATTTAAATTTGAAGACATAGCAGGGGCAGTGAACACTCATTCACCATAATCAGCAATCAACATTGCAGCATAAAATTCAGAGCACAGAACTTCACATTACACCACACCGAGCAATTTAGTGCGCAATATAATAGCAAGAATACTCACAAATTAAGATTTAGGAGCAAATACACATTGCATAAAACTAGAACTTTATTCATTAAGGGCTAAAACTTTGTTCGGCCAAAGGGTGATTTTGAACTCCAAGGTTAAAAAAAAAAAAAGAATTCATAGTTACGGGATTTTGAACTCAGCTTGGCTACAAGAATTAAGAGAAATGTATCCCCTTCTGAAGTACATATGCACATAAGCATGTTACTCAGTTTGGATATGTATATAACGTATATATTGAGCAGCATTACATGGCATATAAAACATTCAAACTGAGTTAAAAAAAATAAAAAAATACAACATTTAAACTCATAGTGATGGTGCATTAATTGAATATAGTAGGGCCTTGATGCTAAAATCAAAATGAATTACAGATTTGCATTTGTCAAAGAGAATTAAGGTCTGAGTACTCGAGTGTTTCAATTGATGCAAAGTCGCATCTCACTCTCTCTCACAACTTCATTTACACAATTCATCAAACATATTATGCTCAACATTCTAGATGTACACACTGATCCATAAAACCAATTCATACTTCATACTTCATAATTCATAAATCACAATTCATAATTCCAAATTCACCATTAATAATTCAATTGACACTTCATAATTCAATTCATAATACATAATTCAATTCACAATTCATACTTCAATTCTCAAAAACAAAATGAAACCAAAACACAGTATTGTTGGCTCTGAGTAGCTTGAATATTTTTAAGAAAATAATCAACACACAAATCATCAAAATGAAAAAACTATGAGTAGCAATCGACCAAGCACTTGAACAATATACCAAAAAAGCATAGAGGAGAAGATGAAAAAATGTAAAAGAATCATACTCAGCTAGCAGTTAAATACACTTGTTAATCAAACAAAACTAACAACCTAGTATTAATAAAATGAATTCAAATTATAGACACACACAATTGGGCTACGAAAACCCTTCAACTTTGACAGTATGTGAATGAAGAAGAAGATTAAGCTTGGGGTATGATTTACAAATTGAACTCGTAACTCTCCAATATTAGGCATAGAATAAGGAATCCAATTCCTCACAAAAGTGAACAAAGTCTCATTCTCCACTGTTTGGAATCCAATTCACTTATTGACCACAACCACAAAAATGACTCAAATCTGAAAGACAAAGAGGAGAATTAGGGTTTCAAAATCACCCACCATCACATCAGATTTGAGAGATAGAGAGGTGAGTTAATTTCATAACAAAGGTTAGAGTTTCAAAATTATCCACCATCATGGTGAAGATCTCTTCTTCATTTGGTCCACTCAGTCACCCAAACCCATCCCAACAGAAATGATGGCCTTGGGCTTCGTCACCTCACAAAGTGAGAGAGAGAGAGAGAGAAAGAGACCGAGATAGAGAGAGACTGGAGAAACTTACCTCAATCCAGCGATGTCGTCAACCACACAAAGCAGAAAGTTGGAGGACCTTAGATTGTCGTCTTCTTCCTCACCTCTGTGTAACAGGCCTTGGATGATCTTAGCACCTTCGCGCTCTGGTTGACAGGAGAAGAGAGAGGTCCGATGGTGTGGAGAAGAGAGGAGGGGCAAATATGTCTATGGTGGGGTTATCCCCTTGCCTGGGTTTGTAACCCATGTGATGGGTGGGTTAAGTGGAGCCAGTATACGGGGGTTAAATGGTACTGTAGTAATCGAGTTAATCCTTGACCCGGGATTTATATCCCATCTCAAAAATGTCTTTCCAAACAAAGGTTATTTGAGTCCCACTCTTATTTTATCCCATCCAAATAGTAAGATGCCAAACTTTGAAATGACATTAAATCTAAGAAAATCTGGGTTTAAGTATGATACTCAATAAAGTCAACAAATAAAAACTCCACAAAAAAATCTATTTGAATTTTTCTTTTCTAATTTTTTTTTCAAATAACCATGAAAAAAAGTAAACAAAAGTAATTCAACCCCAAAAATGGCGTGGATTTCTAAGAAACCAGGAAAAAGCAGAGACGATGTTCTCTGAACCAATTATTATCGAATACCAAAAGATGTTGAATAATGCTTAAAGCCCCCTAATGATTCAGAAATTAAAGGTAAAGTTTTCAAGTTTACTCAAATCATCGGAAACTTTTTGGAATGAAATTTTTTTTATAATTTTTTGACATTGTTGTTGAAATTAGCCTTGGTTGGTACCCGATCATTAGTGCTTTTGACAACCCTAAGCTAGACCATGTAATTCTCCGCTATTCACACTGCATTAAACGGGGAGAAAAAAAGTTAGAGAGAATGTCGGCTAACTGATTAGTTTTATTCCTGTGAGATATTAAATTAGAAACATGATTATCTGGAGACAGAGGTTGTCATTTTGAGTTTCATTACTTGATGTCTTCTTTTCCAACGCCAAAAATAATAGTGCTATTGCAAATTTGTAATATCACGTGCTCGCCATATCCATGTTGAAATATAAGGGAACGACCTCACCACACAAATGCGATGAGGTGTCTTATAATTTACCCTAACATCTATTGTTAGCTTTGTACACAATCTCCCCCTCCCATCAGTCTAGAATAATACCTTTTGTCCTCTTACAGAGGCTTCATTTATGGGCTTGGTTTATTTACTGGCGGCATACAACAAACTTATCCCAACATAAGAGAAACAAAGTCTCCTTTGATACATCTGAAACCCTCCCAAAATTCAACCTTTCACTAATTCAGTACATTGTCTTCATCAAAACTTCTTGCTAGACAAAAGTAGCTGTCCTCATTTTTTGAAAGAATAACATGGATGTGTATGTATTGCCTAGTGGAAAAATTACACCTCAGTGGTTTTTCCTCCTTTCTCTATTCGCTTATGATTCGGCACTGGCAAAACTCACGGCATTAAAGTTAAAAATAATTTAAATCTAAGTGCCCCCTCCCCTCAGGACTAGGAGCAAAATGAGACTCGACTTATGTTGGCCAATCATACTGGGAATTTTGAAATGACTTGGTAAATTACAAAGCATTAGGCCCCAGAATCCCTCCGGATTTTCTTTTTTAGTTTGTCTTGCTCACGGAACTTCTCCCGCCGTTCTTCTCTCCGACGTTTTTTAGAAAGTTGCTCTTCCTTGGCCTTCTCTGCTTCATGAAATTTCCTCCTCTCCTCTTCCTTAAACTTTCGCTTCTTCATCTGCAGAAGTTCGGTGAAACACAAAATTTAGTTCCCACTTGGAGATGATTTGCAATTTCACTTTGCAGATGGCAAATAATTCCCCATTAAAAAGAGTAGATATATGTGGAAAGTAAGCAATAGAAGTAACATATAACAACAGAAACACTATATAAAGGACTTGCAACATCTAGCACAGCATTCCCAGCAGCCAAACAATGTGCAATGCGAACTAATAATATTATACATACTTCACAAGAACCAATTAGAAAGATAAGACATAGGCGAACATCATATTGGATCTCGGAGATGCACATGTCCAGCAAGGACAAGATTAAGCTCCACCGTCTGGGATGGCCTAGGTCAGAACTCATTAGTACACAAGAGCCAGTGTCACCTAACATGATTTATTTCACCAAGAACAAAATGAGATGTAACCCATGATAACTTATTCTCTTCTGGCACAGTAAGTGAATTGACCACTATCTCCTTCTGGGGCAAATGAGTGCACATAGAGCAAAATTTTGAGTATACCAAATTTCTTATTCCACTACCCGTTGCAAATATTTCTTTCTATTACTTGGAAATTCTGGCAAAGAATGCCTCGGGTTTACCTAATAAAATAGAGCCCAAGATTTGGTAAAATCTTCTGTTACCTGCACCATGTTGTTTATTGAAGAACATGGTTAACCAGATACTGAGTTCTAACAGCAACTCTCCTGCCAAAACTATTTTTTTTCTCATTGCAGAATAAATTTTGGAGAAACATGGAAAAACCATAGTTAGTAGAATGTGCCCAAGAGATTTCCCAATTTCCCGAACCTGCCACTCATTTGGCCTCAACCTAACCAAGGTGGCTGAACATTGATTTGGCTCATCAACTTATTCCAAATGACACTATACAATTCAGCTCAATCAATATCAACCATTGCCCAACATATCAGCTCAGCTCAAACTTGGTGACTGGAATTACCTAGTAAAGCAAGGAGCTCAGGGTTTTTGCTTCTTAAGGCTCAACTCTCATAGTAGGGCGAGATCAAATGGCCATCCAAAGTTTGATGATCAAAATCCTTTGGTATGACCAGAACCATCGAGACTGCTTGCCCAAGCTCTCAAGCTGGCTCAATAATCTTTCGTCACTACAACAAGGCACTCTCAAGGCCTTGAGTATCCCTCCTTCAGCCAAAGTAAGACAAGGTGATTGGCAGACCGCCCCATCAACAAGAAGCACAACTTTTAAGTGCAAAATCAAGAACTTCCATCCATGGGTCGTGATTACGAACTTCTGAAAAGAAAGTTCTTGAAACTATACACTACGGCCACTAGTAGACCCATTAGAATCCAAAAAGAGAACTGTTCGAGCAAAAAACCGGAAGCCAAAAAGTAAATGCTGCAACCATAATAAGTGTGACGCCCAGAGTTTCTGAAAGCATGGCCAAACTTTCACAAATATGTCATTTGACAAATAAGTTGATAGAGTTGATCAGGCTCCCAACAAAAGAAGGGAATTGTGTTCAGAAGAAGATCGTTCAATTTTGAACTAGGCATAAACGATGCAACAAAAAAAAGGGACCTGGTCATGAACCACTAGATAAACAGGATTGGAGCTTATTTCGACAGTCAAATCCAAAATAGGAAATCTACAGAATACACTCAGAACAAGATTTAATACGAGTGCTGGAGCGCATAAGGCAAAGATTGATCTGCCATAGTATTGTCAAAGCTCCTGCGGGTATAGATCTTGACTGGAGGGCTGGTACTAAAATAAAATCTGATTCTGCGTAGCTCAAGCAGCTCATGTAGCTTAGCTGACATCTTAACATCTCGCGTAACCAAAAAAGGCCTGCTCGGCAAAAAAAGGTCAAAACTCAAGGACAAGTTATCCTCAAATAAGCTTGGCTCTTCTCACAGCTTGGCTATGCTCATACAGCCAGCTTCACTAAACACCTCAGCTCACACAACTCTGCTTATATCAGCTCTGCTCAAATAGCCCAACTCTGCTCACGCAGCTGATGCGGCTTAGCTCATGCAGCTTGACAGCTCGACTAATGAGCTCACCAAGGAAGTCTAGGATAGCTCAGCATCAAGAGCCTTGATCCAAGGACCGGCTCTATTCAAACAGCTTAGCTCAGCTCTAATTGCTCATTCATCCCAGTTGTGCTTACTTAGCTATGCACATCCATCACCAGCTTTGCTCAATCGGTTAACAGCTCGGCACTGTTCATCGAGCTCAGCCAACAGTTTTGCACAGCCTGCAGCCAAACAACTCAATTCTTTTCCAGCTTAGCCTAGCTCAAATTGAGCCAAAAAGCACATTAGAAGCTCAAGGCCCACTAACCTAGCTCGGGTTGAAGCTCAAGGCTCTACAAGCACAGCCAAAAGCTCCTCCAGCTTTACAGCTTACACGGTTCTAGTCATCTTGTTTATACCTCCAGCCAGCTCAGCTCGGGATGACCAGGCCTCCAAAGGTGGCATCTCCATCACACGGTTGAGAATAAGAGGGCATCCCAAAATCATGGGGCCTAGCTCAAAGATGAGTGAGAGAGACTTGGGACCTCTAATTCACTGGCACAAGACCTAGCACTGACTAGGATCGTTGGGAGGATCAACTCGGTTAAACCACCGAAACACAGTTGACCATATTATTCCCAGGCCTTGTCAATCACCTAACGAGCTGAACCCCCAAGCCAAGGCTAAAGCCCAATTCACGAGAGCAGAGCTAAATAGGCTAAATGTCTAACAACTCAATCCAAGGCCCAGCTCTATTTACAAAAAAGAGATGCCTAACAACTTGCCAATAAAACAGCTCAATCCAAGGCCAAGCTGGCAAAAAGCAAAGCCTAACAACTTGGAAATAAAATAGAGCTTAACGGTCAAGATGTATGCCAAGGGCTCAACAATGGAGATAAGCTCTGCAAGCATATTAAGTGTTTAGCAGTTCTATCCCAGAAACAAGCTTTTAAGGATAAAGACAGATGCTTAACAAATCGTTATCAAAGCAAAGCTCCCAACTTATGAGCAATCCTCAGTATATGAGGTAAAGAAATCATGGGCAAAAGTTATGAAACACCCCCCACAAGCTGGGTTGGATTGAGGGGCTACAAATGGAGGAAAAATTGAGCTAGCATAAATTTCAGCTCTATTGAATATCAATCCAACCCATCTTTTTTTAAGAGTCCTAAGTCAAATAGAATTGGGGCATTTGAATACCCCACATCAGAAGGTTGACCCCCAGAGCTTCCCCTCCGATCTCCAACTTCTCTTTTAGGTGATTGATGTCCAACGAGCTGACATGGAAACGCCTCAATTTTTGCATAAACACCTGCCTTAAATGTGTAAGGTGTTCCTTTATCAAGACATCATCAAAGTATACAACCATCGACTTTCCAATGAAAGGCTTAAGAGCTTGGTTCATCACACGCATGAAAGTGCAAGGGGAGTTAGACAAACCAAATGGCATGATCAACCACTCATAAAGACACTCTCTAGTCTTAAAACTGCCTTCCATTCATCCCCGGGTCGAATCTTGATCTGATAACAATCCTTCCTAAGGTCAAGCATATCATCAATTCTAGGTATGGAAAACTTATACTTAATGGTAACTTTATTATTGTGACGACTATCAATGCACATTCTCCAAGTACCAACCTTCTTTGGTGTAAGAAAAGTGCGACAACTAAAGGATTCATACTCCCTCTAATATGTCCCATCCTAAGCAACTCTAGCACCTGTTTATGTAACTCCCCATGTTCTAGTGGACTCGGGTGATAATGAGCTAGATGATAAACTAGCACTAGGAATAAGATCTATGCAACTGCCTAAACCCCGGGCTAGCGATGCATGGAGCATCGCCCAAGATCTAGCTAGATATCTCTAAAGTGGTGGTAGTCTATCAAAAGTTGCTCTGGAAGAATGTCCTTAAATTCATCGAGTAATAGTTTAACTTCCTTAGAAATTTCATACTCGTCACTGAATCTCCTTTAATTATGTTTCAACTAGATTTTCATTAAGGATCATGACAGATTTACGTTGGACTTTATTTTGGGCTAGTGGTTGATCAACCTTCTTTCTAGGCATTCTTGCATCCTTTTGAGGACACAATACTATCTCAAGAGTCAAGACCACCCATTTTGAAAGTGTAGGGCTTCTTTTCCGCATCATGCAAAGTCTTACAGTCAAATTTTCAAGGTCGTCCCAACAAAATGTGACACACCTTTAAAGGAACCACAACACACCAAACTTCATCCCTATGATTCTTCTCAATGGAGAATTTCACTAGACAACAATGTGTAACAAGGACTTCACCGCCTTCCTTAGACCATGCCACTTTGTGTGGTTTAGCTAGCTTCTTAGTTGGCAGGCATAGCTTGACAACCGTTTCTCGAAAAATTAAGTTTTTGGTGCTCCTACTATCAATGACAACAAAACAAAACTTGCCCTCGACAGTGCAAGTAACGTGAAAGAGACTTTGTCTCAACCACCTATCAATTGGTGGGGCATTGGGAGCCATCATGACACAATGAATCACAAGAAATTGACCATCTACATCACGCTCTACTTCTTTCATGCAAGTAAAAAGTTGTTCCTCACCACAAGTACTCAAGATGGAGTTCACTTGACTCTTGCTCTATAAATTTCCTTCTTGTACAAGTTGAGGATATATACCTCAGTTAACCACACTTAAAACAATTATATGAGGATGGTTTAGCACCTAGGATGCCTTTACCCTTATGTATCTGAGGCTAAGTGGCTGGTTCGGCCTAGAGGATGGCAAATTTGGAGCATCAATGGGTACACCCCTCGCTTGAGTCCTAAAACTTGTTACACCATGACATTCAAGATCTCTTGATGCAAAAGAAGATCATCACTCCATATATCAAGTCTGGTGATTAGTTGAGTGACATTCTTAGCAAATCATTGACTCAATCTGCCTTCAGTTGTTTATCTTCCAAGCTGGTATTTTTTGTCTTTACACTCCACCATGAGGAGGAATGTTAAGAGTTCTTGTTTTCTATATTAGACATAAAAAAATTAGTGTAAAGTAATATAGCAACCACCCTAAATATTATTCAGTTATAAATAAGAAAATGTAGGCCAACATAGCCTACACAACTAATTATTCTCTCTCAGCCTTTGCTTCCCTCTCTCTTCTTTCTCTCGTTTTCTCTAACCCTAGTATTCCTTTTACTGTTTCAACTCACAACAATAACTTCTAAAGCTTTATTTGTTGGGGTAATTATCTTTTACTCCCTCGTGGTTTTACTCAAAAACACTTTACCTCCTCAACTATTAGAATTATGTTCATAACCTCCCAATGGTAGTGTACCAAAGTGAAAAGCTTAAGACCATTAAAGGAAATAAAAAATGACAATTTTAGCGGTTCTTCCTCTTCATTTCCTTCCTATGTCCTCAAAATGAATCGATGAATATTTTAATATTCATGTGGAGTGTAGGTGAAGCATAGGTGTACAAAACTAAACCAATGAAGTTCTTATACAATTTCAGCTTTTGATTTATTTTTTCACTTTTCTCTTCCATTTTGACTTTGGCTGATGTAACTGCCCATCTGCTATTGATTTGTTGTGCTGCGACGAGTACACAATATCAAAGAGCAGCCAACAAACAAATACCCATGGCATTATTTCTATTTTGAAGTAGAGATCCAACTCAAAAGTTACATTTATGTGAAATAAAAGTTATATCTTCTTCAATGGACTAATTTGTTATTCCCATTTTGAATCCACTGCTAGTTGGGTTCTATTTGATATTTGGTGCATATTAGTTGAAAAAATTGCTTAGGACCTCCTCACAACCATTAATCAATCTCCCTTGTTGTAAAAGAAATGTTGAAGATTTTGAAAGCATATGAAAAAATTACGCGAGGATGTCAGTTGGAGGAGAAAAGGAAGAAAACAAAAGAAAGGAGGAAGAAGAGGGTACAAAGGGTATTTTAGGCATTAAACAAAATTATTTTGGAGGGAAACCACAAAAAAAGCCCACAACTTGTTTATGGCAAGGAAAACAGACACAGTCAATTTGAATGACAAAAGTAATGATTTTACTTTGGTCCACAGCAGTGTTTTGAAAAACGTGCCTAGGTGTTCGCCTAGGCGAGAAGTGAGGAGAGGCGAAGGTTTCTCGCCTGGAGGACTCCAGGCAAAGCGAACGTGTTTGAAGCGAGCCAAAAGCGAACAAAGCGACCACTTGTTACTTAAGCAACAGGTGACAAGGAGAGCGCCTTAACCTTCTCAAGCATTTTTTTTTTAATTTTGATTATAGGTCGTTGATTAGGCAATTGGAAAAAAATTTTAAGACATAGATACACCGAATTATTCCTTTACCCCATAAATACAACCCAAACCTAATTTTTTTTTCAAATTGTCTTCGTTGGAGCTCTGCTACACGATCACTGGAGTTGGAGTGTTGGACTGGACCATCGCCGGAGCTGGAGTGCTGGACTGGACCATTGTCGAAGCTGCTGGACCATCGATGGACATAGGGAACACGAAAGCTGCACTGTACTGCTGCTGTTTCCTCACTGACACAAGGAACAGGTAAGTCTCCTCTTCTCCTCTCTTCTATTTCTGTTTTCTTCTTTTTTCTTCTTCTTTCTGCTACTTATTCCTCACCGATTCTGCTTTTCTCTCTCTTTTTTTTTCTAATTCGAACCGGCAAGTCTCTTCTTCTCCTCTCTTCTATTTCTGTTTTTTTCTTCTTTCTTCTTCTCTCTGCTACTCCTTCCTCACCGATTCTGCTTTTTTTTTTTTTCTAATTCGTCTCAGATTAATAGTCTCTTTTATTTTTTAAGCACTGATGACTTTTTTTTTTATATGATTATTGGTCTGTTTTTTTTTTTTTCTGTCGATCGCTGGTCTTTTTTTTTTTTTTCTGATAAGCAATGCTTCAAACAAAACATATTCCTTTCTTTTCTTATTAATATTGATGGAATTAAACATTAAAAAGAATTATACAAACAGATGAAAACAATAAACTTTAATGCATTCGATACATGTGAATATTTTTTTTTTGCTGATTGATACATGTAAAATTGTTTACATGTGAAATATGAAATTGTTTACAATTGTTATGAAATGTTATTTAGTATATGTGAATGTGCCCTTGTTATGGTTTTACTTGCATTTAAATATTTAGTATATATAAAATTAGAACTTAGATTGTTTAGAAGTAATTAAACTAAAAAAAAATATTTTTTTTAACTATTCGTTTCACTTCGGTAAAGCGTGTCGCTTTGCTTATCGCTTTACGCCTTAAATAACACTGGTCCACAGTCACAAAGAGGTTATGTGCATAATTTTAAAAGTCGATGAGCTAAAGTGATTATAAGGAAAATCACATGGGTAAAAGCTAATTACCCCTTAATTCTTTCCTTTTAGTCTGGAACGATGGGTATAGCAATCTTTAGTGGAGACGTCCCACAACTAAGATGAAGAGTGAGGTGTCCATGATAAGCTTTTCGGAGGGATCCCATCTAGTGTCTTGGAATTACTAGGGAGGGGATGTTAACTCACCAGGCCGATTACTCCTTTTCGCATGTTATTCAACTCACAAAGGCAAATCAAGAACTGGATGAGGTTGGATTTGGCCAATTCTATTCCTATTTGGCAAACAAACGCAGCTTGAAAACCAATTAAAGGGCATGCCATTAGAGTTTTCAAAGGGATGGATTTCCACTAAGTTGGGCTAAAGGCTTAAAAAAGGACGGGGATATACACAACTATTTTAATCCCTCCCATCTCCCCTCCTATCCCCAAAAAAAGGCAAACAAACAAGGCCTATCATAACAATGCTTGCGCGATTGCCTTACAAATAAAAATACTATATTGCACGAGGACGGAAAAAGAAAAAATAAGAGAATAGAAAAGAAAAAGAAAAAGAAGAAGAAGCGAATAAGGGATATCAAACTCTCGTAAAGATTAGGTCAAGAAACACAAAAAATTTTCCATAGAGAAATTATTTTATTAATATCATACTTTTTAATAAAATAGTAGGGATTAAGTCGATATTTATAGGTTAAGTCTCTTACCAAAATAAGAATTATTCTCCTAATAAAATTCTAAAAAAAAAATTTCATAATCAAATTCTCAAATTTCAATCCACAAACTCTATAACAATTCCCCCAATCAAGCTCTCACTAATGCTCCTAGTCAAACAAGTATCCTAAGTTAAATAATAATAATAATAATAAAACTAATCCTAATAAACTACCAATAACACTTTTCTTTGGACAAAAAGTTTCTAGTCTTCCTACGTTTTAGGGTTCAAAAGTTGATTATATTGGTCCAACCAACCAATGGTTGCACCATCATATATACTTCAGAAATACAGCACATTAACCCTAACGGATAAGGGGGGCGGCCAAAAATTTTGGAGTGCCATCCAAAACCAAGATTGATGCTGAAAAGTCAAAAGGCATTCATGAGAGCCTATGAAGCACAGACACGAACACGGGACACGGATACGACACGATACGGACACGCGGACATGAAATTTTCCAAAAAATAGGACACGTACACATTAAATAATATATATTTTTTTATAAATTATATATATATATATATATATAATTATATGATGTCACACATAGTAATAAGGTGTTCTTCGTTACAATTATGGTGACCATTTTGTTGTCATAAACCAAGAACAACTCCAACAACATTAAACTGCTGCATATTTTAAGAAGGGGATTCGATGAATAAGTTGACGTCGCAGTGCCGCGCAACAAAATCTGGCTGTCCATTCAAATTTGTTTGAGTTCATCAGCTATGTGTAGCTTCACCAACCGTTGGATTGCCAAGCATAAACACACTATTGTATGGGCAGTTCAAGTTTTGGCTCCAAACTCTTTTCATGAGTCAATAGCATGGGCCCACCACTATCCGTTTTTAATGGAGTTGCTGGATCCAGTACTTCGCAATAGCTGTCTATAGACACTTGGCAGCACACTATTCATCTATTGATTGACTAATCTACATGCAAAGTTGCAAGTCAACAGAGTGTAGAATGGCTCATTGCACTTAATTTTTTCCAGCCAGCTGTAACCCACCAAAATATTTTCAATAAAAATTGTTCCTTCACGTGGGTAAAGAGAGGCCTTATCCTTTCTTATCTCTAGTACAGTCTAATGACTCTAAACCTCTTGTCTTTTTCTCTCTCAAGAAGTTTCCGGCCTCTCGTCTTTCTCTGTCAAAACCTTCTGCAACATTTTTCTTCAATCGGTAAATTTGTTGTCTCTCTCTCTCTCTCTCTCTCACACACACACACTCATTTTTTTGTGTCTAAATCGATTGCAATTTTTCTTCTTATTGATATTTGCTATCTTCATCTTCTTTAAATCTAGATACAAATGTAGAAAGTAATGTGTCCCAAAGTGTCCCAAACATGTCGGGACGTGTCCGAAAATTTTAAAAATAAAAAAAAAAATTCAGACACCATTTTTTGCGTGTCCGAGCATGTCCATGTCCCAGACATATCGGACACTGATACGTGAGCCCAAATTGAGTGTCCGTCCTTCATAGATGAGAGCAATAGAAGGGCACCATCATAATAGAGATGATACACCTATATCATGCAAACTCTTCCATTCTACTCGTGTAATCACAGCTGTACATAACAATGATAAACCCCAGGGGGATTCATGCTTGGATCTAAAGTTTTGACAAGCCATGGCAAAAAAAGTGGCTGCTAGGCAGATATATATATCTCTGTATTAAGCGCCCCCCCCCCCCCCCGGGGGAGTAAAAAGTCCAGTTTAGCATGATTTTCTGTCCGAAAGAACATACCTTCTCATGTCTAATCAACTGATAGTGTTGAACAAGCGCAAGCACTTTGCGCTCATGAGGTTCCATCACAACAGCCCTACGATTTTCAAGAAGTCGTCTCCGACTCGGAATATCCTTGGGCTTTGAAGCAAACGGGAGGGCTGCCTGTAAAGACTTGGGGATAACCACTGGATTGAACTTCTTTGGCTTCCTTTCAACTGGCTGTCAAGTGAGACAAGCAAGCCAACAAACAAACGAGATCAAAAAGGGGCCAACAAATCATAATAACAAAAAAAAAAAACTTCTGCTAAAATACACTCTGGCTCACTAATCAGAAATTACCATGTAGAGTGAATCCTTGTTAACAGGAACTGGAAGATTGCGTTCATTTCTCAATTCAGCAACAGTTTTCATTCCTTTCCAGGTCTGGTTACGAGGTTGCAGCGCTGTTGTCAATGGGTTCCAAAAGCGAGGAACTTCAACTTGAGTCCATGCACGTAGGAAAACAATGTCACCCATCAGAATCCTATCCTCAAAAGTGCACCTGGCAATGCCTTCTTTAGGATATCCTCCTTTCTTCTTGGGTTGGTTACCACTATCTTCTTTTGCTGCCTGCCCAGATTGACATCATCTAAATTAACCAAGAAAGCCTTCAGAATTACAGGGACTATTCGTATTTCTCTCAGTATAAAACCTTTTAGTCCCATGCAACTATTTATGGGCAATGGTCACTCTCATGTGATGACATAAAATTAAAGGCACTAGATACAATATAGGGCCAGAGGAACCAACCATTCTGCTAGTATATACATCAAAAGAATGTTTGAAAGCAAAATAGATACACAAGGGAAATACAAGCATCTGTCGCAACAAAATACAGTCAGTGACAGACATACCTTCTTCACCTGCCCACGGATACCGCTAACTGTTCTCACAGCTGCACCCTCAAATCTGGCTATTTCAAGATCTGAGGTGAACATGTCCCTGATGAGTGCTGTCTTCTTAAAGATCTTGCATGGATAGCCAACCAGCTTAATCTTCTTCACTATTCGTGCAGCATGGTTGAACTCCAGAACAACCGCAGTTGCTATGATCCTAAATGTTGCCTGAACAAGCAGATGGAAACTGCTTAGCACATGCCCAAGGTGATGCAACATCCATAGATTGGTTAGCCAAATACATAGGTGTTGGAAACCTAATGCTGCAGCTATTGGCCCCAAGGCAAGACCATGAAATGGAGTCCTAGAGAAAGGGGAGTGAATAGGACTATCTAATTTTTCTTCACTTGAAGTCCTACTCACCACTGCCTACACTTTAATACCAATCTGGTTGTTTTATACAATTCTGGTCTATTTGTGCTCACCTGAAGTGTTCCCTCTAGACTAATTTGGCAAATATATAGGTGTGGGAAGCCTAAAGCTGGAGCTATCAGCCCCATGACAAGACAGTGAAAAGGAGTGCTAGAGGGAGGGTCTGGGGGTGAATAGGAGTATCTAATTTTTGTACACAAAAAAGTCCTACTTACCACTGCCCACACTTTAATACCAAGCTAAGGGTGTTTTATATAATTCTCAGTCTATCTGAGCTCAAGTGAACTGTGCCCTCTAACTGTTCTCTTTTGCTCAGTTCTATTTCTTCTTTTAATTCGAATAACAAGAACAGTGAATTACACAGTATATGTTCATGCACAAACTATAATCCTAATTAAATTGGCTACACAACTACATGATTTATGCTTTAGGATGTTGTGGTATTTTAATATATGAAAGTGATCTCAGAAGCATGTCAACTATTCCATTAATCACACTAAAGCATGCAACAACGAATACAACATATATAGTTGTTTGGCTGACCCCTTAGCCTATATCAACTCTTCTCAACCATCTTAGTCCAGACTCAAAAAACTAAGAAACCTGACCAAACAAGAACCCAAAAAACAATTAAATATGAGATATTGTCCGGATTGACCGTTTCATAGAAAAGTTTGTCAATATATCAAACTTGATGAAATTACCATAAAATCATCCAATATTTAAAATAAAAAAAACTAGAGGTACCCATATCCAACGCAAATTGTGGAATTGAATACTAGTCATCCTCATATATTTCTCCACACATAATATCATAATGCAAGTTCTTATATAATAAATACCATATTTCTTACATAAGAAAAGTCCTTCATTATCTTACATTGGACCATTTCTACAGAATATCATACATAGAGAAATGACTTTTCATTTCTCCATAGTGTTGATAACAAGTAAAAATAATAAAAACACAAAATTACATTACAACCGCAACATGCACAAACGAGCCAACCCCTACGGTCAACATGGTCATTAACAATTAGGTGGTATTCATCAACCCAAATAAATGCATGTTTATGGTCTCTACCGGTTGAACGCCTATAGAAATACCACACATCATTTATGGTTGTGAGCCTTTAAAACTCTCATGTGGCCAGCACCACATGCACATAAAGATCCTTTAGTACTGTCCATGTGCTATGCATTTTGTCAAGGAAAAATCAAATACCATATGTATCGCAATCAACGTAATTAGTTAAATCCCATAATAGACATAAGGGTTCATGTCATATCATATAAAATATAAGATATCAATTAATAAAGCACGTATAACTTGTTTAAATTGCAGATTGATAGTCTCAGTTGAGTGTTATAATGACTTAGCAACAAGTTTATGTCTTGTGCTCTGCGAAATTGTGAGTAAGAAAACTGCAACGGACTCTTGAATTGTGACTCATCTGCCGTAATCCTATTTCTAGTGATTGTCATCACGCAATCTTTGACACAAGCCCGTAAGTACTCACCTCCATCTTTAGACAATCGTATATTTTTGTTGGATGGCCATTCGATAATTTCATCGCCCATTCATGACTCGTGAGAACAAATGTTGTACATGGAATTTTGAACAATCGATTCTGAGCGTATGGGCTAATGTCAGCGACAAACAATAGTTCATCCAAATCACTACTTGATGAGTTTGTAAAGACCTCGCTGTATTGGGTATCATTATTTGATATTATAACTACAAAAAAGGATAGTAAGAGCTCTAAGATGGATAGTGTCCTTGATGTATGGACTACATACTCACTTGCGAGGTTGGATAAATACAAGTGCTATGCTATGTCACACTAATGCTTGCATTGATGTGTTGGAGTCCATGGAAGACATTGAGGCAAAGAAATATTTTCGTGCTCGTGAGAAATTCAAGGACCTCGGGCAGCGCAAAATGGTCATTAAAATGTTTGCACTACACAAGAGGCAGTGGGTTGAGTCACTTGAATCCCGCGGGTAGTCCCAATGTCCTTAGTTTTACTTCTTGTAATATAACTCTGTGTTAGATTGGTATGCTTTGGATGGTAATATGTGGCCATGGATGTCCAACTTTTGACTTATTATTATGGTGGTTATGTATCTTGTAGGATATGACATTCTACTTGTTTTAATATTTATGTATGAATGTTGAATCAGCTTGTATGTATTATAATGTTAGCATTTATCTTCTTCCTAGTTACAATGTCAAATAATGATGCACAATCCAAAGAGGACTGTACAAGCTCATCAAGTAACTTAGAGGAGGATTTGGACGAACTACTGTTTGCCGTTGGCATTAGCCCATGAGCCCAAAATCAACTGTTCAAAATTCCACATAGGATATCTGCTCTCACCAATCATGAATAGGGAGATGGAATTATTGAATGGACATCCAACAACAATATATGATTATCTAAGGATGGATGTTATTACATTTCATGCCTTGTATCAAAAGTTGCACAATAGCAATCACCTAAAAGAGGATTGCCGCGAAGGAGTGACAATTGAAGAGTCCATTGTAATTTTCTTACTCATAGACTTGTTGTCGAGTTGTTCCCACACTTCAATGAAACTACCAATCAACAATTCACACAAGTTATGCGTGTTTTATCAATCGGCATCTAATATTTTATTCAACACAACATGTTCTTATCTCTATTGGCTCTAACTATGTTGATTGTGACACAAATTAATGGTATTTGAATTTTTTTTGATAAAATGCAAAGCACATGGATAATGTTAAAAAGCTTTTATGCACATATGATGCTAACCACATGAGAGTTTTCTAGAATCACATGGACAAAAATGATAGGCAGACAGTATTTATGTAAGTGTCCAGCTAGTAGAGACTATAGATATTCATTCATTTGTGTTGAATGAATACCACCCAATTGTGAACGACCACATTCTCAACTATAAGGGTTGGCTTGTTTGTACATATTGCAGTTGTAATATAATTTTGTGTTGCTGCTTGTTTTTACTGTTTTTACTTGTTCTCAACAATAGTGTGGAAATGACAAATCATTTCTCTATGTATGATAATCTGTAGAAATGGACCGATTAAGATAATGAAGGACTTGTCTTCTGTAGGAAATATGGTATGTATGATATTAGAACTTGTATTATAATATTATGTGTAAAGTAATATATAAGTATGACATCTATTCAATTCCATAAGTGGCGTTGTATATCAATACATATGAAACAGTCAATCCAAAGGGTATCTCATATTTTCATTGTTTTTTGGGTTCGTGTTCGAACAGGTTTCACATTATTCCATTTCTTAAAACTATTTTTAAAAACATACATCCAAGCATGTTTTTCAATAGAAACCACCAAAACATATATTTCTAAAATTCTTCCCAAAAAAATATTGTTCAAGAACATATTCAAACAGACCCTTAAAAACTTAAGAATTTTGTAACCTTAGACCTAAGGGTCCTAATTAGCCCGCTTTCATTTTGTTTGACTTGAAAATGGATGGAGACCAATAACTCAAATATAGAAACTTGTAGGAAAAGACAGCGTCTTAATCTAAAGCCCAGATTCAGAGTTTAACGAAAAACTAAAAACGTGAAAATTTTATAATCTTCAAATTCGATCTAATGGTTCCAATTAGTCTATTTTTCGCACCATTTCACTTGAAAACGAAAGGAGACCCATAATTCAAATACATAAATTTGTAGGAAAAGACAAAGTCTAGATCCCAACCTTGAGTTTAGAGTTTAAAAAAACTAGAAACTTTTGAAGTTTTGAACATAAGAATTTCATAAGCTTACACCTAAAGGTCCTCGTCAGCCCGTTTCCATTCCATTTGACTTGAAAGCGGATAGAGACCCACAACTCGAACATAGAAACATATAAGAAAAGACAATGCCTTGATCCAAGCCTCACTTTGGGAGATCGTCAAAAAACAAAAAACTTAAAAATTTCAAAACCTTCAAATATTGGACCTAAGGTTCATATCAGCCCATTTTTACTCCATTTGACTTGAAAACGGACGGAAACCCACAACTCAGATATAAAAACTTATAGAAAAAGACGGTGTTCTTGATCCATACACCGGTTTTAAAATTTGACGAAAAACCAAAAACTTAAAAACTTAAGAATTTTAAAACCTTCAAATTGGACCTAACGATTACAATCAGCCCGTTTCCATTATGTTTGGCTTTAAAATAGACGGAGATCCACAACTTGGATAGAGAAACTTAAAGGAAAAGATGGCATTCCAATCCAAGCCCTGATTTGGGGTTGCACGAAAACTAAAAACTAAAAAATTTCATAATTTCATAACCTTTAAATTAGACCTATTAGTTTCGATCAGCCCATTTTCCCTCTGTTTCACTTAAAAACGAACGAATACCCACAACTCGGATATAAAAACTTGTAAGAAAAGACTGTGTCTAGAACCAAAAATCCTGATTTTGAAGTTTGACGAAAAACTAGGAATTGTAAGAATTTTGTAACCTTAGATTTCAGGCTCCCAATCAGCCCGTTTCTGTTATGTTTAGCTTGACAAGGGGCGGAGGCCCACAACTCAGATATAGAAATTTATAGGAAAAGATGGCATCTCAATTTGATTCTCAGTTTTGAAGTTTGAAGAAAAACTAATAAAATAAAAACCTTATGACGGGGATCATATAGGAAATGGATAGATATTATAAATTAGCTATGAGAGTTATTTAGATACTTTTAATATTTATCTTTTAAGTAATTTCTTTTAATTTTTAAGGGTTTATTTGTCATTATTTATTTGTTTTAGGGTTTTAACTTCCCTATATAAAAAGATGCATGAAAGGCTTTTATTTAAATTAGAGACTTTGATTATTATTGAATACTGATATTACTTCCTTCTCAAAATTCTCTCTTTTTTTATTCCTTTCTTCTTCTCTTATCATCCCTAATTATTCTCTTCCTAGTCTACATCAATTTGATATCAGAGCTATTATGATCTACATCAATTTAGTATCACAGTTCAACTTTGATTCGTACAAATTACAAAAATCACATCAACACTGTTCGTCGAAAAAACACTATTTATTTATTATTGTGAGCACTGTTCATCGCACACTGCTCTTGGTCTCGTTCCAACAGAACCAAC